AGAGAGAGAGAGAGAGAGAGAGAGAGAGAGAGAGAGAGAGACACTATAATTATCAATGAAGCATCGTGTTTGTGCAGAACAACTCTTCTATCAGTAGATCGCATTTTTTTTCTTTCATTAAGGATATTACATGTCACAGTAAATATAGTTAGGTTTGCTCTATTCTATGTCAGTTACAAGTGGCTTCCCTTCTCCTTTACTCTCCTTCACCTCCTTCACCTCTTTCCAGCCCACGGTGCTTGGTAATTTCGTTTTATCGATATTCTTCGTGTCCCTCCCGTGGCGACATGTCAACACCTATATTATTTAAGGAGACAGTTAAGCTACACGTAATTTGTGATTCGTGTGTGTATGTGTGTCTGTTCTGTTTATGTATTACATTCGGTGTTCTCTCTTCCATGTATGCGTGGTCTGCAATTTTGTGTTTGTATCCTGTGTGTACGTGTCATGCGGTTCGTCGTATGAACGACTGGCGCAACGATGTGTGTGTGTATGTGTGTGTCCATTAACTTCTTAACTCCACGAATTCATCATCCCCACGGTCCTCTTTAGTTACTCTCTACACAAGTGTATATTAATATATTTACATTCACACGTCCACCGTAATCTCCGCGCTCGTCGCGGGCCTCGAGGCTGTCGCATGCCACCCCCGATCACTCGATCGACCTCCTAACATTAAATATAAATTCAACAACTATATATATATAATATATATATAGATTTATGTATGTGTATATATATTTATATGTATATCAAAGCAAGAAATCGTGTATCAATGATATATCAATATAGCAAGAAGGAAACGTCGCCCCGGTAACATTCGTGTAAAACTGGGGAGACTCACCGCCCGATTATCCGGAAACCGCGGGGTCGCAACGGGAGGCTCACTCGTTCGGCGCGACGACGTTTCGCTTAAATTTATTGTTCGTGACACGGTTCTCTCAAGCCCACTCCGGCGTAGAGATTGAGACTTGACCAGATGGAAACGGAAGGGAACGTAATTCGACACAAAAAGGTGGAAAGGAAATCCGAAGCGGCAGAATCGAAAGGGAATTTCCACGGATCAGTGACGCCATCTCTGGCGTGATCGGTCAAACCCCTTGAGGAGGTTCCCTTTCGGGGCAACACTCAGCCATGGGACGAGACGTTTTTTCCCCGCGAATCACCCCACATACATGTCATCTCTCTCTCCTACAACGGTCGCCACGCATACATATTTTCTTCGCCGGGTCTCTCGTAAAAGACAGGTGATCCTCGAGCTACGTGTATTTTTCTTTTTTTTTATATGTACAAATAATGTGATCCATCTTTCGTCCCGCTCTATCTCTGTTAATAATCCTGGTCTAGATACAATCCTCTCGCAACCCCTCGGCTAAACAGCCAGAGCCCCCACGCACACACTTCATCTCGCACACACGCTCGCTCTCCACTCATGTTCGCCTCAACTCTGAACCATCGGTTCACCCCCTATTTAAACGCTACATAGAAATATCTCTCTTCGTTCTGGGTCCCGCACAACTTTGTATCTCTCGCAATGACGATGGCTTCCACGACGGTGACCGTCCTCGATGGACACGAAGGATCAGCTGCGAGCGTAGACAACCCTCTCCCCCACGGAGAACTATTATTGGGTTAGAGACAGAGATGGACGGATTCGTTCCTTGGATAAACGTGTAATTAACGTGTAAAGTCGGTGGTTGGTAAAATAAAACCTAGTAAACTTCCCACCAACTTTATTGAACAGTAATTTATTTTATACGAAGCAACACATATCTGAGTACAATGAGGTACGGATTAATGCACTGATGTTATCACGGATTAGTGTAACTTGACTCGTCCTCAACTCCTTCTATATCTCACTGATTCCTCGTCTGTTTGGACAATCCTCAATCTGACTTAACAATGCTTTCCAATATAAATCTCATTGCACCCCCAGGTACCTTTCTGTTCCCCTTTAATTGAACAAACATTCGACTGAAACACGTGCAATACTCTGTTACGTTCACTCGAACCGAATCCTGCCCATCTCTGGTCATGAATACGTAATTCCATTCAAGGAATCGTTCAGTGGACATCAATGTTCACCTAAGCGTTGCGCTTCTGTGACTATGTACGTCGCGGACAGCACGCACAGGTTCTTGGCCGCGTAACCGACACATCTAGTCTCCTTTGGTTCCGATCAGAAACACAACATCGGTTCGTTGTGTCGTCGTTATCGTACGAAAATAATCGGAGATCGGACGAAGCGTGGCTTCGTTCATCTGTACAGTTCAGCGTTAGTTTTCAGCATGTGAAAAACGGCCTAGATCTATCGGTAGAAAAACCAACTGAAGGGAAAACGGCGGCGCACGGTGCTGATTCACGGTTCGATACCTTAGCTACTGATTGATATTAGGCGTATCGGCGTGCACTTGCCAATGAATTCCATCGGATTTCCGTCGTGCGACGAACTTGCCACGATTCCCTTTTGTCGACCGATCGAGGAAACGAATCACGACTCCATGACGGACCCTGAAGTCGCCAGTGAATCACGTTTGTGCACGCTCGAGGCTTCGGAGGACAACGTACATGTATACGTGCACCATCAAGAATGAATAAGCTCTGTGGACAATAGTCGGTGGGTGTCTAGTTTCACGAAAACTTTATTATCGTGAAATGCTGATTGCGGCATTGCGGCTTCAGCGTGACAGCGGTCAGCGATAACGATCGCTCGGCGGTTAACGATGACAACGGGTCAACGTTTTGCGCCGTGAAGCAACGGCTCCTAAGGTGATCGCTCGCTCGCGTGCAGGCGGGCTTTATAGCGTTTATTGCACAGCGATTGTGCGTACGATAATTAGTGTTTATTGCGTGTCCATGATCGGTACATAACCTCCGATTCGTCTTCGTTCGGTCTCGGCTCCTCTTCATCCCCGTGGATTTAAAGGACGGTCGCGGTAAAGTTTCGTCGTGTCGCCTTTATTTTTGTTCGCAAGGTGCCAAGCTCTTCTACAGTTCGCCATAAAAAATAAACTCCCTATTACCTGCCTGTGTGTTCCTGTGTACGTGTATGTGTGTCTTCTTCTTTGTATATAACGTGTGCGCCCGTACGCGCGTGTTGTTTTTTCGGCCGTGTGGGTGTCCCTATATGCGTGGTGTGTTCCTCTATAATACGTGTCTCACGTGTGAAGGTTCGTGTTGTGATGCCTGGTCATCCTCGTCTCGCTTCTCTAATCTGTACACCCGAGAATACACATGTAAGTTAAGTACATTTAAGCTCTCTATAGCTTCTGACTTCATCTCGCCCGTTTTATCTCTGTTTAATCATCGAATGCCTCGTGGATACGCTAGAACACTACATTTTTATTCAGTCAGTCCGTAACACTCGCACACCGGTTCCCCTTTCATTCCTCCCGGACTTTCCCGGTTGAATATCCAGCGAATTAACTAAGTTCACCGGGATAATTGTCATCCCGTATATACAGATTCGATCTCTTCGCTATCATTTGTCCCATCTTCCCGGGATTCACCGCTCCCTGATCGCCGTATCCCTTGTGGCGTCGATCATAGTTCCACCCTTGGCTACAAAGGTCTACCATCGATATTCTGGTGACTGCCAAAGGGTGGAACGAGCGCGTGAGTCTCCACGTGAGATGATGCTCCCGATCCCGAGGAGTGTCTCCAGCTACCCAAAACGTCGTGGTGTCGTTCCACACGAGTCGGTCGCCGTTCAACCTCGTGATCATATTATTTATCTTTTCATTTTTGTCGGACACTGCGTTTAACATACATAACATCATATCGACACACGTAAGCGTAGTCCACTATAGCTGTGGTAATTAGTATAAGTAGTATTAGTAGTATATGCTGTCCGGAGAGGGCGAAAGTAGTGACCTCGGTGTCGCGCTCGGCGGCGATTCGCTAAAGTATTTCAAGGTCAGGGGCGACTGCAGATGTCTGTGTCGGATCACCTCTCGCTCAGCAGGCAGCGGCCACAGTTCCTGCGCAACCAGCGGATATATCTGCTAAAATTGTGTAGATTATCCGCGACAGGGAGTGGGTATTGCAATTGGAAGACGTGCAGCGAACTAGTGACGGAGACGAAGATGAAACTTGTTCGAGCTCACAAAACTACTCCATGTATCACTGTTGTTCTCTGCTTAGAAGACCCTCTAACGCGTGACAAGAATCATACTTGACGACCAATTTGTATCAGAACATCAGTCTATTGGTTTCACTACGACACATAGAGTTCACTGTATGTCTTTCAATCACAATACATAGGACAAGAGAATATGTTCCGAAAATTCTCATCGAGCCGCCGATTAGTACACTTCAGCGGCTGAGCGTTATCATTTACCTGCAGCGAGAGAGCCTCGTCTCAGGACTCACCCTGCTTATTTCTACGTCCAGTCAGAGAGCCAACCAGGGACTGCAGAGTGCTGCCCAGTCTTCTTTCTTTCGGATTGCTCAGTTTGGTGGCGTGCTTGAAGCCCAGCGGGTGTGCGTCTAAGCATTTCTGGTACCTCAGCTGCGCAAATAAAGAACAAAATCCCATTTTCAATCTTGTCCTAAACGCTGATCTCGTCTTACAGGTCAGATTTAAATTTGGCCCGATTTAGTGGGGGGGGGGGAAACAAATCACCTTGCAGGCGGCCTCGATGGTTTTGCAAAGGGCCCCGCTGCTGGGCTCGCAGTTGAAGATGTGTGCGAAGAAGAGATTTTGCGCGGTGTGCATTATGAAGGCGCACTGTTTCACGTTTCGACCGATGCCGAGGAATGACAAGTAACGTACTCGACACTCGGTGATACTCTCCTCCTACGATACACATCAATCAAATAAATTTTAATGTCAGACTGCGATCTGCTGGCAGAAGATATCCATAGCTTATGTTAGTTCACTTACGTTCGGTGTAAGGATAGAGATCATGCTGGGCGCGACGGCAACTTTCACGTTTCGCCACTCGTTGATAGGTGTCATAGCTACGGTTTGATCTATCGCGTCGTTCAGAACCTTCATGCCTGTGGCCTGAGAGACTCGTACTGATCCAAGATACTGCGCCTGTAACACCTTCTTTGGCTCCTCCATCGGCGTTGGAAAGGATTGTGCTGGGGAGAAACCAATATCCAATTAATCCTCGCAAAGAACACAATCTCCAATATTTTTTTTTATTAGAAACAGCTACACAGAAACTATGTTTTATGGTGCAGACAAATTGAAAAGTAATTCAACTTTTATCTGTTATTCGACAACCTCTGTCCACACTATTGAACACTATCAGCGTCGCTGAATACTTACTGACTAGTGCTTGACCATTTCTTTGGAAGCGTCGATGCTCTGTAGGCAGATTGGTGGGTCTCGTGGCCAGGCTCGTTCGTCCATTGATGTCCACGGGCTTCGCAAGGTTCTGGTGTTGCGATCGTTCGATCATGATTTTCTTGCAGATGTCGCGTAGCGTGTTCGCGATCGTGCGCGCCGGTATGTCGCAGCGGAACACGTGACACATGTGCTTCCGTGTTGATCGATCTCTTGCCACGTATGCGAAGTCCCTGAGAAGCAATTTTATTTCAAAGTTTAATATCTCGTGATCCGCGATTTGAATATCATCTGGTGAAACGTTTAACAAAAGGGATTACCTTTCGCTGCGGAGGTGGTCCAAGAAGACATGAAAAGAATTACGGATTTCGTTATCGAGGACGTTCTGTTTCTTCGGAATGTATTTTTAGAGATTCAGAATCACTTACCGGCAGTGGTCTCTGCCAACACCCCACACCCTGACTGTATGAATCGGTTGAGTGTTGAGAACAGTAAGATTTTCTGGGTCTATCAACTTCAAGGCGCCTTCGTCCAAGTCCATGAACAAATCTTTGCCCTGGAAAATATTAAATTTTCGTAGATACACGATTTAGTTTTGTGAATTATGATAGTGTTCATCGAATATGTTAATACTAACGTCGCCCCATCGACCAACCACGTCCAGAAGATCGTTTCTACCAAGGGACAGGTCTACAATGCATTTATTGACAGCCTTGCTGCTTCTCTCGGGTGTCAGGTCCTCTTCGGCGATCTCTGTCCATCCAAGAGAGCGTACTGCGAATCTGATCGGCTTGTCTTTGCCCTCGGAGTCTGCCCTTGCTGGATAGCTCCTTCGTCTGAAGATAGATTAGAAGTGAAAATTATCAGCGCTTACTGAAAGTAGGAAGCAAACAGAAATTTTAACAATGTCTTACTTGAGCAGTAATTCTCTTCTCTTGGTCTCCAGCTCCTGGCACAAACAAGAACTCGTGTTGCTACGGGTCACGGTATTTACCATGCCGCTTGAAGTGTGGAAATTGTTTATCTAAAAAAATAAGAAGGTTTCAGTAACTAAACCTTCTTTATTTCAGGGAATCTGAATGGGGTACTTTATTTTATTCAAATGTGATCTACTGCAATTCGAGGTTTTCACAACTCAGAGTCATAATAATTGTTACTATTGAATTGTTGAATTGTTTTATGTTACTCACGCTGTCGTTGTCCTTAATGAGATTCTTGCGGGATTCCCTCTTCGAGGTCGGCGGTGCTTCCGGAGGCTCTCTTTGTATATTGCCGCTTTTGACGTGCCAATAATAGGGGCCATTTTCGTCTGAAAGGAAATTCGATCGTTCATTGGTTTCACGAGTGAAAGCGCCCTCTTATTGACCACTTCGAGGAGACTTGTAGAGGTTTATAGATTTAGCCTGTGCAAGATGAATCACCTAACTTGACACAGTGTGTTTATTCTCGCGCGTTAAAGGACAATAAAGCAGAAGATTTACTCAAATTTCATAAAACTTTTATCTTATTCTGCTCTTAGCCCTTGTGCAGTGTTCCTCTAGGGATTTTATAAATCAATTTAGTATCAACACTTGTAGATCAGTTTTTATTTAATTTACTTCGGAGTATATTGATATGGCAATTATCCCAATAGTACGCCAGGGTGGACAAATCTCTATTTAATTCTCATTTCTCGAAATTTGCGTGCAAAAATGTGGATTTGCATAAACGCCTGCAGTGTGTACATAACTATTTCTCTCAGAAAGGAGTGTTTCAAACAAAAGGTGTAAGGTATCAAGGCGAACGTACACGTTCGATACAATAATTAGGCTCTTTATATTTCGTTTTCTTATCGTGTCACGAAGGTTACCTTTCCCTCCCGTGTATCGACACACCTTTCATTCTGTTCTAGAAAGGATTGAGTAATCTAAGGCCACCTAGGTTACCCACCCTCGTGTTTCTGCCAGCCGGGCGGCAAATTCTCGTCTTTGTCCTCGGAATCCGTGGTGTCCACCTCGGACGACTTCTCCTGGTCATTGTTCTGCTGAGTGGCATTGTTCTTTTGATCCTTGGGCTGTCTTCGTTTCACGGGGACCGCGTACAGCTCGCTGTTCAATCCACCCTCGACGTGGGGAACGCCGCCCATCTCGACAGTCTCGTTATCTGGCTTCTCGCAGTAACTGCAACAGCAACGCCATCGTATTACCATATTATGGACCCTGACACTTATCTATCATTGCGTCAACAATTGCTGCAATTACTCATAGAAGTGGATTGGAAAGTTCAAGCGCAATTATGTTACAACAGCCAGGGTTATTAGCGAAGCAATAGAGTTTCTACTGGGGTATCTTTTTGGTAGAGAGTTTGCATAGTCGGTGAAAATGATATAGCGTGGATGTAGAGTGGTACGTATGTCAAGCATGTCTTATTCATGTTGGATGATACAGGGCTCTAGTCTCTCATAAAGAGCTTGTAGCTCATTGTGATTAATTAACTAATGACGTTGAATCGAAACAGGGCTTAAACCTTCCAGACTTTATACTTTTGTCAATTCTTTCCGGAAACATGAATAATTCAGGTCCTGATCAATTTCACAACCACATTGTGTCTCTTCTACCAGGAGTACATATAGTTAGAGGTACAGTCGACGGTAACGCCATAATAGGATATTAAAACGAATGAAGCTACAAATGGAACCACCTTTAAAATTTTCAGCATTGATGTAAGAGAGAAATTTGTTTAGAAGAGGATGGTTTGGGCGGCACTGGGCAAGGTCTGGGATAGGTATCACTTTTCAACTGCCATGATACCCTTTGTCGACCATCGGACCCAAACCTCCGTCTATAACTATACCGACAATGAGTTTACTACCTTGCTATACCATTACTGTCGACTACAACAACACAAAGGGTAGTACAACAGGGCCATAAAGAAAGGTTTGGGTCCGGTCGTCAACAGAGGATATCATGCCAACTGGGGAGAAACACTTCGCTTAACACCATGCAAATCATTCCTTGTTAAATCATTTCTCAGAACTGTTGAAATATTAAAGAGACAGTTCCAGCCCCCCAGGTTTCTAAAGCAGGGCATACACGGCGAGGTTTATCTCGAAGCCTGGTCTCGTGAGGTCGTCTCGCGTTAGGGGAGCTGGGTCTCTCGAAGCCTCCTTGTAATCTGTAGTGGAATGGTAGGAACCGTGCCGAACGCACGATCGAAGGTTCCCGAAAGTACCGTGATACCGAAGTAAGAACTAGTGATACTGAAGTAAAAACTAGTGATACTAAAGTAGGTAATACTAGTATTATTAGAAATCTTACTTTATAAAATAATGGCCCCGAAATATCAAAGATGGCTATTTCGCGTTAAATTAATATACGTTTATACATATACTTCCAATACAAATTATTTCTGAATTATATTACTAATAATAAACGCGGCGTACAATAAGTCCCTAGCCTAGTTAAGAAACACAACAGATCGATGTCACTACTGTTCACTGTACTTGCCAAATTAAGGTCATTAATCGAGGGATCACTGTACAAGGAGACTTCGAGAGATCCAGCTCCCCTAACGTGAGACGACCTCACGAGGCCAGGCCTCGAGGTAAACCTCACCGTGTATGCTCTGCTTAACTGTGCCGGGTACGCGCGAAAGGAGCTTCTGTTTACGGCCCAATTCGATTTACTGCCTCGCTAAATCGTTACCTGCCGAGTCTACGCGTCGATAAATCTTCACTGCCGCTGGCTGGGTAGAATACGCGTGTTGACGATAACGATTCAGTGCGACGTCGGTTTGGAAATCAGGCAGGATGGATCGCGACGTCGTTAACATTTACTTATCGTCGTTGACGCGTCCGGTATGATAAATCGGTCCCCGTGTAATCGGCCGTCGGATGGCTCGTAAAGTTTTATCGATCACACGGAGCCGAGTATCGACAGATACGAATCGTGATTCGCCTCTGATCGCGTATTATATCGTCGAGGGGCTACTTACTGCTGCCGCGTCTCGTTTATGATCAACCCGCGACATGGGAGAGGCTGGGAATGGGATGGAGGAGTTTGTAAAGGAATCAGCCCCTGTTAAACAGGACGAAAATTCAGTTAACGACGGCTCGTAACAGTTTCAAGTGGAACTTGTTGGCAGTTTCGAGAACACGCCACACCACGTGTACCGTCTGGAATTACATTGTTAGTCGGCGGGTTATTAACGTAAGCAATTACCTTGATATGAACAATCTTAAGAAATTTTTATTGTTTATCTCCCGCACAAAAATGTAATGTAAAATTAGTGATTAGACTACAGGTTACTCTATTAAAATTCGAGAAAACAAAATATTAGTCTGCAGATTTCATGCATTTCCAGTAAATCTAAATTTACAGAACAAACTGAAGAACAAATCTAGGTCAACCAAAATCTACATCAACGGTTTAATAAACTTTCCTTTTACTTTCAACTTCATAAATCCCTTAGTACGAGAAATCAGTATTTTGTTATTCCAATCTTTACAAAACTGCCTGTGAAACTTTAGCTTTGCATAAACAAATTCATGATCTACCGCATTCTATATTCACCCCGCTTTACAAAGTCGCCATTTCCACAGCCGATGCAAAACGCATGATCTACGTCAACCAACGGAAAAGTTCTACGCGAAAATGGTAAAAGCGTTGCGCGCCGGTTGCGAAACGTTCCCATCGCTAGTCTACTTTCTAGGGAGTTTGATTTTTACGGAATAAAGTCTATTCTTTCGGGCGCGTAGCGTTCAAAAGTGCCTACTTTCTACGCGTAAAACCCCGGGAAAAGTTAATTTTACTTTCTACCGTGGCGCGTCGTGGAGTGGCTGGGTTTACAATGGGTAATTTTATTTTATCTTTTTGACGGAAGGAACACGCCTTTTTTACTTCAGAAGGAATAGCAACTTTGTTTAAATATACGATCGATCGTTTTACTTTCGTAGGATTTTTTAATTTTCGTTTGTGACTGCGTGCTTTTTTTCGTGTTCTTTATTGAAATCTTGTTAGTGGAACTGTGTTATTTTAATATGTTTTAAAGTGTTTATTTCAAAGGTTCATCAATACGAATTTATCAGGGTACCGTATCTACATTTAAATTAGATAGAGAAGATTTTTACTCTAAGTTAAAGAAGATTGAATATATTTATCTAAGTAACAGTTAAATCAATTAGTTAATTTTTATACATTTCTACGTAACGAAAGCTCAAAGTGGAAACTGAATTGTTCGACCAATCATCATTAGTTCTCCACGATAACTATTAATTTTTTCTTAACCCTTATGAAGGTTAAATTTCTGTAGCATTCTTCGTACAGCAAATTCTGCAACAGAATCACCAGAACACATTGTCCAGAGGTTAAATATTAAGCAAACCTAGTGCAAAAATTTCTTCATCTGTCCAAAGCAAGAAGATCTCATCGATCACGGATTCGACATCACGAAATGTGTTTCCCGTTCCCTCTAACGATCTTCTATTTACGGGAAACATATGAATCCTTCGAAACAGGTGCATGCAACACGTCTGTAGCGGCAAATTGCCAGTACTGCAGCGTGGACGGGGCGGGGATGGGGCACAAAGATAAGCAAACAACAACAACAACTCGAGTTTCCTACGGAGCAGGTATGTACTCGCGTACCGAGGAGAATCGATCGCCTACAAAAGCTCGCGATTTCAAACGGGATCCCGTTAAATTCCTCCCCGGCGATAATTTCGGCGACGTAGCAATTCAGTTATATTGACAGCAACAGCGGTAGCAGCAACAACGGTAACAACAACAAAAACAGTGAAGCAACAACTGGTTCGACAAACGGTGCATATTTGGTCTGGAGGAGGGTATCAGGCAGCGAGAAAGATAGGAGACTCTATCTATCGTACGTACTTTCTCGAACCGGATAGATTCGCAGCGTCGACCGCGTCCGCGGTTCCTGACTGAAGGGGAGGCAGATTCGAGGAGGAAGACGCCGACGACGATGATCGAAGATTTCCGTTGAGGGTGTCGTCGACCAGAGCGGACTCCGCAACACCACCCTCGCTGCCGTACCTGAATCAGCATCGAGCCGGGCGGATTACAAAGAGAATCGATCGACACGGTGACTTCTGTCGTGTCGTCATCGAAACGGTCCCGTGATTCGTCGTGATCACAGAATTTTATATAGGGGAGACCGGGGCAGATTGTAACACGGGGTAAGTTGTAACATAGTTCAAAGTTTCTGAACGACAAATTTGGCAACGCAGCAGGATGCCAGAGCGGTTTGAAAATATTGATATCGTCGGTTTCATTGCAACAATCGATCGTCAAGTGTCTGTTTTGTAGCTACAGGTTAGATTTTTATTATTTGGAACGAGTAAGTAAATATTCTCCTAGCACTTTTATTTTAATTAATCGCCATCAGAAACCGTTTGAATTTTTACTTCTTTGTCGCAATCGAATCATTACACATTGGTTTATTATAATATTAACATTATTACTTATCCTGCTCTAAATGGTAATAAAGCAAACTTGCTATTTTGCCGAAATATTGGTTACTTTTAGGATGAAAACATACAAGAAAAGGTTCTACTTCAAAAGAAAACTGTACTGATAAAAATATTCCTTGTATCAGTGAATATAAGCAATGATTGTTTAATCCATGTATATCAAATGCTTAATAATGATATGCATTTTCATTTATATTTTTTGGAAATGTTTATTTGTATTCATATTTGTGTTTAACTAAATAAAACAGACGTGTTACAATTTACCCCGGGCTGGGGTACATCGAAACTGATTCATTACATAACAATTCATATATTAACCCTTTCGTTGGTTAGGGTGACTACAGTCACCCAACGTCGAGTGCCCGCTGTGTAGTAAAGATGACTATAATGACGCATCCAAATTTTGCATTAGTCCACAATTTACCTAAGTTTAATTAATTCTATTTATTGTATGCATTAATTAAGCAGATGTTACACTGTTTGTGGTAAATTATAGTATCGCAACTCAATTGTCCCGTGCAGTGGCGGGAAATTGTGTTGCTTCGCCGTAGCGAAAGGGTTGAACAAAATGACACTAGCTCCATCTCATTTCAGGTATTGGACTTTAACTTAGGACACTTTTCAGGATGGTGGATCTACGCGTTAGAAGACATTTCACGCAATAAAATGATAACTGAACGTTTTAAATTTATTACACTTTTCCTGCGGAGCTGCGATATATTTTATGCCATGTGGGTCATCGATTATCCGCAGCAGAATGTTCTATGAACGTTTACAATTGTCAATGGGAATACAAATTAATGCCAAAGTGAACAGCTTTATTGAACAAGCAGAATTAATTGATATTATGATGTATTCTGTAAACGTTGCAAATTATTGTGTGCTGTCGATGGGCACGTAACGTACCTTGTTAGGTACTCGTAAATGCGTAAACAAATTATTATATAATAATAGTGTAATTATTCCCTCCCTACAGTGGTGTTACTCGGAAGTTTGAACGTGATTACAGAGAACAGTATACACACGATGTTACAATCGTTACTGTCTTATTCATTTGTACTAAACATTTCAGTAACCATTCACTTTAATTAACCCCATAAGTCTCTCCACACGTTCGGAACATTTTGGCCAAGAAAAGAATATGTGATTCTTTTTCTACCATTGCGTGGACGTAAATTAGACCGTGCAATTAAATTGTTTAAAGGTTCGTATAAATTTAACAGTTCAAAGGATAAAAAAGACGCGTGAATATTTAAATGAATATGTCAATTGTGTTGAGTGCACAGCAGTTTTTTTGCTGCGCCTCGAATCGCACAAAACGGTGAACATATGCTGTCAGTCGTATTTATACCGTATCGGTTGCTGTCATGTTGCTCTCGCCGCAGCAGTATTTACATTATCATATTGATGCGTCTATTACAAAGTCATGAATCTGGGGTAATTATGATCCGAACGGATAACTGTCCGGCAGGCCGAGTTCTGCATAATTAAACCGCGATTTATGCACGTTCGCTAGGCGTCCAACATTTACGGTGCGGCCAGTTTCGTAGAATTTTTAACGGGATCGGCGTCTGTGCGTTCATACGCGACTGACTGCGTGGAATAAATGAATTTTTTATAACTTTTCGTTATTGGTAAAAAAACGTGTGAATTGGATCGTCGTGGAAATATTCACTGTATTAATCACAGGAAACAGAGAAAAACTATTATCCGCAAGCAAATAATCCGTCAATGTTTTTTGTGCTCATTTTTTAATCATTCTGTAGGACGTAGTCCAAGTATAGACTAGGGTCTAGATAATGGGCTGGCTGAAAGTATAGGTAGGTCTCGGTTAGTGCAAGTAATAAATCCCAGAAATCCAAAAAAAGAAAACTATACAATAAATATACCTTTTCATATGTATTTGATTAAATTATAATGAACCCAATACGCATAGTACGTGTACTGTTTATTTATGTATCCTCATAACTTTTACTTTTATCATGCTTTCGTGAAATTTTTTCTTAGTCTTAAAATAAGATTTGTAGTTTGGTAAGTAATCTAATAGTAAAATAAATGTGACAGCCTTCCGTGAATAAATTTGTGAGTTCTTGTACATTGAAGCGTTAGGTATTGAAAATATTCAACAGGTTCGGTAATAAGTCGAAGCAAAAGCAGTAGCCCATATTTGGAGCACCTCATCTGCTATAATTCCAGTTGCGTACGAGTGGTAATTTCTCGATACAAACTATCACTCTGATAAATCCACGAAAAGGACGTCCATTTCCCAAGATTGAATAATACTGCAGAGCACGAGGTATATACCCGTCGCGCAAAAATTCAATTCCCTAGAGCCATTCCTCGAAAACACGGTGAAAAGTTTTCGTCTTGAGAGAAATCCTGGGGAATCGATGTTATTTCCCTGGAATTGGTTAGATGGTGCTCGGCGCTCTGTGTCCTACCATTCCCCCGGACCAAATACACTCGATCCAACGTCGAAAACTCCCGTTCAAGTTCCACCATTTTGAATCCCGGAATCCTCTTGTAAACGGCGGTCTCCGATCTTCGGAACACGCGAGAACTCCTGTCCGTTTTCCCGCTAATTTCGAGACACGAAATGTCCAGGGGGAAAGCCTCCAACTTTTCTAATTGCAACGGTTTCACGGTGAAACGACAAGCGGTTTCTTCGAGGAGTCCCTGAAAATTCGCCTGATCTTTTCGTTTAATGTAACGCTAGCTGGGGGAACTTCGAGAGAGAGAAAGAGAGAGAGAGAGAGAGAGAGAGGTACGTCGAAAGTTTCCCTGTGGAAAACCATTGGCGTAACTAGGTAAGGGATAAATGATCAAAATATGTAAAAAAAACAGTCGTCAACTAGTAAAATCTTATGTTATACGAAATAAATACTTGGGCCGAAATGCAATACTATCCTCATGACGTTAAAATATTAAATATGTAACTTTATTTTGTGCAACCCACGTACATGGTATAAAATACATACATGTTCCTCATGGGGAGTGTTATGGGCAAAAGGGACTTAGCCCCTTCGCCCGCTACAGACAAAAATCCTAGTTACGCCAATGTGGAAAACTCGGAAATCTCTGGACCGCGAGATCTCTCACGGGAACGACACCACTCGGGTTCCAGTAGATTTCTGTTACAAAACCCGCGATTGCGTCTGACAGTTTTCCCCCTCGTCTACTTGTTGCGTAAGTTCTCCAGATGTGACGTTGTTTTCAATCGATCTCTTGAGGCAATCTCGTGTTTAAATATTGTATCGAAGGATTGTGTAAGTAGATCCGCGACAGGTGCAATTGAGTGGATCGCGATGAAACGTGTACTGTAAATAGAGTTCAACGCAGACATTGTTCTGTCTTTGTCTAGTGGAACCATTCGTTGAGTTAACAAGTTTGTAATTAACGCCTGTTTCGTAATGTTAGTCGATAAATAATGTAAATTTTCAATAACGATCGACGTAATATTGTTAGGCCTTACTGTGTCAAATTCCACACCGAGACGTTAAGCGAAAGGTGTGCGTTGTGATCGATGGTGACGAAGATTTAGTGTCCCATTTGCTATAACGATTGATCTATGACGATAATTTATTTCTAACGTTCTTTTCCGTTATTTTTACTGTGAAGAATTATTTCAATTATTTTCAGTAATTTTACTTTTAAGTCAATGAATTCCTTAACCCTTTGATGCCCAGACCGTTAAATCGTTATTTCAAAATTATGAGACTGATATATGTGTACGTTGTATCTCGTTATTTTGAAGTAAAAAATGTCTATATTAGATCGGCCCATTTTTTTTTATTTTTGGAGGGACCACTTGAATTTTAACACATCAGTGAAACTACGGATCCTTGGTAACGAAGATACATATTAACCGGCGACAGAATTTGATGGATTTATAAAATGAGCTTGCACCGGTGTAACATTGGGAATTAAAAAGTTAAATAGAGATAGAAGTTTTTGTTTATGATTCAGTTATTCACAATTACTGCAGAAATTGACAATTTGCATAAAGTTCCAGAGTCTACGTGCATTTACCTATGTTATTTATATGTATATCAAGTTGATCAAAAAATTTATAAACGAAGAAAAATCCACTTCGATCGATACAATCTTACCAACGAGTCACAAGTTTCTTAATCCTTTAACGATTCCTCGGTACATAAAATTAAGTGCGCTCAAAAACGACATTTATTATGCAGCAACCTAATGAATTCTTCCTGTTATGTATCTCTACAAGAAGTTACCCAATCGTCTTCCCATCCTCTGTCTCGACAATCGCATAAAGTATCGAATCTATCGATTCTGCAAAGTATCCATAAAACCTCTTGTTTCCTTCACTTCTCGTTGGTCCTATTTATGACCTCTCTGCTGTCTGTCGTATCGAGAATGAAACATAGTGATATTATGAAGCATAGTACCGTTAATAGCCTAGAAATGGGTTCACAGCAAACCCAGTGCCGTCATTAGAAATTTTCCTCGATCTGGTACGACGTTTAAAGACGAACCTAACTGACCGTCACGGGCGTTGCGCCGCAGAAATTACGCGGCTGCAAGGAAGTGCCATTTTAA